GAAAAGAAAGGAAAATTTAAGCCCCGCCCACCCACCCATCTCGATTGTGATGATTTTTTTATTCGTCGTAAGCCGGAGGGCGGAGCTTAATTGCAAAATTCTCATTTCTATGCAAATGAAACATGTTTTAAGTATCGTGTTGTTGAAAAAACTATATATAAGACAAGAAGTCCAAATATTAAGCACCGCCCACCTGCAATGATCTTAATTATGACGAAATTTTTATTCGTTGTCAAACCGAGAGGTGGAGTGTAATTGCAAAATTCATATTTCCGTCCAAAGGTGTATCATTTTAAAATGTGTTCAGTTTCTTCTTGTGAAAAGAAGAATATGTACAATAAAAAAAAAACAAGGTAAAATATAAACCCCACCCACCCACCCTATCTCAACTGTAATTATTTTTTATTCGTTATGAGCCAGAGGGTGGAGCTTAATTGCAAAATTCTCTTTACTTTGCAAATGAAACATGTTTCAAGTATCGTGTTGTTAAAAAAATTATATATATGACAAAAAATCCACAGATTAAGCGCCGCCCACCTGAAACGATCTTAATTATGACGAAATTTGTATTCGTTGTCAAACCGAGAGGTGGACTGTAATTGCAAAATTCATACTTCCGTCCAAAAGTATGTCATTTTAAACATGTTTTCAGTTTCTTCTTGTGAAAAGAAGAATATGTAAATTAAGAAAAAACAAGGTAAAATATAAGCCCCACCCACCCACCCAATCTCGATTGTGATGAATTTTTTTTTTCGCCATTAGTCAGAGGGCGGAGCTTAATTGCAAAATTCTCATTTCTTTGCAAATAAAACATGTTTTAAGTATCGTATTGTTAAAAAAAACTATATGTAAGGCAAAAAATCCTAAGATTAAGCACCGCCCACCTGAAACGGTCTTGATTATGACGAAATTTTTATTCGTTGTCAAACCGAGAGGTGGAGTGTAATTGCAAAATTCATATTTCCGTCTAAAGGTGTATCATTTTAAACATGTTTTCAGTTTCTTCTTATGAAAAGAAGAATATTTATATTAAAAAAAAACAAGGTAAAATATAAGCCCCACCCACCCACTCTATCTCAATTGTGATGATTTTTTTTATTCGCCATGAGCCAGAGGGCGGAGCTTAATTGCAAAATTTTCATTTATTTGCAAATGAAACATATTTTTAGTATCGTGTTGTTAAAAAAAAAAACATATATATGATAAAAAATCCAAATATTAAGCACCGCCCACCCGAAACGGTCTCAATTATGAAGATTTTTTCATTCGTTGTCAGACCAAGGGGTGGAAAATGGTTGCAAAATCCATATTTCCGTCCAAAACTGTATCATTTTAAAATGTTTTAGTTTCTTGTTGTAAAAAGGAAACTACATACCTATATTTAGAAAAGAAAAGAAAATTTAAGCCCCGCCCACCCACCCATCTCGATTGTGATGATTTTTTTTATTCGTCATGAGCCAGAGGGCGGAGCTTAATTGCAAAATTTTCATTTATTTGCAAATGAAACATATTTTTAGTATCGTGTTGTTAAAAAAAAACCATATATATGATAAAAAATCCAAATATTAAGCACCGCCCACCCGAAACGGTCTCAATTATGAAGATTTTTTCATTCGTTGTCAGACCAAGGGGTGGAAAATGGTTGCAAAATCCATATTTCCGTCCAAAACTGTATCATTTTAAAATGTTTTCAGTTTCTTGTTGTAAAAAGAAGACTACATATATTTAGAAAAAAAAAACAGGAAAATTTAAGCCCCGCCCACCCACCCATCTCGATTGTGATGATTTTTTTATTTGTCGTGAGCCAGAGGGCGGAGCTTATTAATTGCAAAATTCTCATTTCTCTGCAAATGAAACATGTTTTAAGTATCGTGTTGTTGAAGAAAAGCTATATATATTAAGGGAAAAAAGTCCAAAGATTAAGCTCCGCCCACTTGAGGCGATCTCAGGTATGATGAACTTTTCATTCGTTGTCAAATCGAGGGGTGGAGTGGAACTGCCAATTTCAACCAAAAGTTTGTCATTTTAAATAAGTATTTTTCAGTTTCTTGTTATGAAAAGAAAATAATGTATATTACGAAAAAACAAGCTAAAATATAAACCCCACCCACCCGCCCTATCTCCATTGTGATGATTTTTTTTTATTCGTCATAAGCCGGAGGGTGGAGCTTAATTGCAAAATTCTCATTTCTTTGCAAATGAAACATGTTTTAAGTATCGTGTTGTTAAAAAAACTATATATAAGACAAGAAATCCAAATATTAAGCACCGCCCACCCGAGACAGTCTCAATTATAAAGATTTTTTCATTCGTTGTCAGACCGAAGGGTGGAGAATGGTTGCAAAATCCATATTTCCGTCCAAAACTGTATCATTTTAAAATGTTTTCAATTTCTTGTTGCAAAAAGAAAACCACATATATTTAGAAAAGAAAGGAAAATTTAAGCCCCACCCACCCACCCATCTCGATTGTGATGATTTTTTTTATTTGTCGTGAGCCAGAGGGCGGAGCTTATTAATTGCAAAATTCTCATTTCTTAGCAAATGAAACATGTTTTAAGTATCGTGTTGTTGAAGAAAAGCTATATATATTAAGGGAAAAAAGTCCAAAGATTAAGCTCCGCCCACTTGAGGCGATCTCAGGTATGATGAACTTTTCATTCGTTGTCAAATCGAGGGGTGGAGTGGAACTGCCAATTTCAACCAAAAGTTTGTCATTTTAAATAAGTATTTTTCAGTTTCTTGTTATGAAAAGAAAATAATGTATATTACGAAAAAACAAGCTAAAATATAAACCCCACCCACCCGCCCTATCTCCATTGTGATGATTTTTTTTTATTCGTCATAAGCCGGAGGGTGGAGCTTAATTGCAAAATTCTCATTTCTTTGCAAATGAAACATGTTTTAAGTATCGTGTTGTTAAAAAAACTATATATAAGACAAGAAATCCAAATATTAAGCACCGCCCACCCGAGACAGTCTCAATTATAAAGATTTTTTCATTCGTTGTCAGACCGAAGGGTGGAGAATGGTTGCAAAATCCATATTTCCGTCCAAAACTGTATCATTTTAAAATGTTTTCAATTTCTTGTTGCAAAAAGAAGACCACATATATTTAGAAAAGAAAGGAAAATTTAAGACCCGCCCACCCACCCATCTCGATTATGATGATTTTTTTTATTTGTCGTGACGCGGTGGGCGGAGCTTATTAAATGCAAAATTCTCATTTTTCTGCAAATGAAACATGTTTTAAGTATCGTGTTGTTGAAGAAAAGCTATATATATTAAGGGAAAAAAGTCCAAAGTTTAAGCTCCGCCCACTTGAGGCGGTCTCAAGTATGATGAACTTTTCATTCGTTGTCAATTCGCGGGGTGGAGTGGAATTGCCAATTCCAACCAAAAGTTTGTCATTTTAAATAAGTATGTTTTCAGTTGCTTGTTATGAAAAGAAGACAATGTATATTAAAAAAAACAAGGTAAAGTATAAGCCCCACCCACCCGCCCTATCTCGATTGTGATGATTTTTTTATTGGTCGTGAGCCGGAGGGTAGAGCTTATTTCCACAATTCTCGTTTTTCTACAAGCGAAATATGTGTTAAGTAACGTATTATAAAAACACTGAAAAAGAGCCAAAGATTAAGCACCGCCCACCCGAGACGGGCTCAATTGTGATGAATTTTTCATACGTTATCAGGCTGAGGTGGAGTGTAATTGCAAATTTCTTGTTATGAAAAGAAGAATACATATATTAAAAAAAAAAAATTAAGCCCCGCCCACCTACTCATCTCACTTGTGATGATTTTTTTAATTGGTTGTGAGCCGGAGGGCGGAGCTTAATTGCAAACTTCACTGTGTTAACTAGAGTAAACTATGGACAATTTATAGTCGAAATTTCCTAGCAATAAGTCGTTAATAACGAATTTTTAGATAACTAATTTTTTAGAAAATATTCTGCTTCTATTTTTATAGAAATTAGAGCAAGAACTTTATTCAGATATAAGCAAGTAAAGACAATATTTATATAATTTCTTGTAGAAAAATAAGAACTTTATACTTAAACTCCACCCCGCGGCTCACGACGAATAAGAAAATTCATCACATTTGAGATGGGTGGGTGGGCGGGGCTTAAATTTTACCTGTTTTTTAACTATATGTATAATTCTTTTCCCAACAAGGAACTGAAAAATCCCAAAAAGAGCCAAAAGTAGGGACTTCTTCGAAAGAATTCGACTATTAAGCACGTATAGATAACTAGAATTAGCAATGGCAGATTGAAGTAGCTCTTATTAGGGTGATTATTATTTTGCCGAATTTCGTGTTATCCATGTAACGTAAAAAGATTCAACAAAAATAATTTTAATAATAACAAATATAAAACAAAATTTTAATAAATCTGCTAGCAATAATATAATGTTTATAATAATTTATTTAGATTATATGCACTTTACCTGATCTGATATGTTCCTCTGTGACTTGCACTCTCCTGACCTGATGTGACCCGAACTACTCTGATCTGACTTAATGAGATTATAATTTTTTTTTCAAAAAAGTTGTCGAAGGGCGCATTAAAACTGCACAAAAATGTATGAATATCGTTTAATTCTTAAAAGTATTCCACATATACACAAGACAAATTTCACATCTTCTACTTTAATACAGATTTTTTATAAATTTTTAGTACCAGCGCTAAACGTAATAAAGATCGCTATAATAATAATAGAGAAAAAAAAATAAAACCTTTAAAACTGAATAAATAGAACAAATTTCTTTAACACCGGTACCGTTTTTCAACGATATGATAAACAAACAAAAAATGATTGAAAAGCATCGTTTTATACACGCAGGTGTTCGGATGGACCGACCGACCCACAAACAAATGTACATTGAAAGTATATTTTTTATTTACAGCGTATTTATATTCGTTAAGAAAGAGAAAGATGGAGAAGGGGGATGTACGGTTTATTGCTATTTTCGGTGTTTCAGGTGGTTTTTGCTCGGAAATATGGCGATTCGGGCACAAAAACCATCGAAACTCTTTGGTAGAAATATAAATAAATTTTGAATCTAATATACATAGTGTTATAGGAGTAATTTACAATTTACAGTTTCTTGATGAAACACAAAACAACCAGTATATACAGAGTTGACGCGGTACGTACAAACACTATTTACATAATTGTTTTAAATTAATTGCAGTAATTAAAGGAACATTAACTCTCTATCGTGTCTTACTTGTCATATAGTATAATTACAAAAGCTCCAACAGTCTACGGGTCGCTATCGTAGTGGGGCCAAATAAACTCCAGCATAGCACCAAAAGGTCGGATCAACAAAAACGAGGTCGCTTCACCTAGTGAAGTAAACTCACACACATTTTGTACTTTTTTCCAGCAGTTGTAAGCTACGATAAGAAAAGCACTTTACGGTAATTTACATGTGCAATCGCAACTCTATTGCCACTACTTCTCCCCGTCCTCGCTCTGCTTCACGTCCAGTCCGTTCACCATCTTCTCTATGCTCTTGAGGTCGCTGGGCGACGCCGCCGCCTCCGGCTTGGGCGAGGCGGTGCTTGGTCGCGGGGGCGGCGACAGCGAGCCGCCGCGCCCCCGCCCCGACGGCGAGTTGCTCAGGCTGCGCGTGTGCGAGCTGGGCGTGACCGTCTCGAAGGCGCTGCCCAGCGGGGAGGAGCTCACGTTGGCCGTGGGCAGGGTGTAGGGCGTGAACCGGTGCCCGCCCTTGAGGTGGTTGTGCAGCGGCGACGTGGGCGACAGGTGGTGCGGGTTGGGGTGGGCGAGGTTCTGGTAGTGGGAGAAGAGGGCGGGGTGCTGGGCGGCCAATGCGAGCTGCGCGTTGAAGAGGAGGCTGGGGTTCATGCCGGGGGCGTGCGCGCCGGAGAAGAGGCTGAGGTGCGGCGCGAACGGCGGGCCCCCGGCGCCGGGGTACAGCCCGGGCGGGTACAGGTACGGCAGCAGGTGCGGCGGCGGGTGGATGGGCGGGCCCACGCTGATGTTGGGCGAGGGGTACTCCGAGGGGTTGGACGGGCCGGGGGCGGCGTCCTTGGGGGACGACGGGCGCGGCCTGAAGGCCGTGCCGCCGGGCGACTCCGAGCAGCTGGACTCGGAGCCCGAGTCCTCGTGCAGCCGTCGGCGGAGCGACTCCTCCTCGGCTCCTGCAACACATTGACGATAAGTTCCTTGAACAGCCTGATCCCGTTGACTGATCACTCACCGGAATGGTTGATGGAGGAGGCGATCGGCGTCGTGGTGTGCAGGGAGGGCCTGGGGCTGTCCGCCGTGCCCACGACGTCCAGCTCCGAGTCGTCAGTCTTTGAAACCGTGCTGCTGTCCGCAGACATCCTCGCCGGAAGCGGATGTGACGTTTTGTCGTCCGTGTGTCTCTGCGCCAGCATCGCCTGCCTGAAACAATAACAGCAAATACCATCTATAAAATTTGGCGTCCTCGAGCACGGAAAAGGTCGTCCGACTGTAATTATCACAGTACGGGGTCAATTAGGCTTGCTTATAATTCGCCACTGGGTTACCCTTTGTTCTTGGTCCCTCTACGCACTGTTTGCACCCCACAATCATATCAATTGCTTTGGCAGACTGAGACCCTAGTGCTACACAAAGCCCGTATGGGCCCTATTGACCTGAGGAGGAAACGGAACGTTCAGCAATTTAGATGAGACAGTAATCAATGCACGTTGGCAACAGTGGAAGTGGAGCCGATCAATGGACGTGTTTAGGGCTCGTTTGACACACTGAGGAGCGTTCGCGACGATTGAGAATGAGTAGGTGCACAAGAGGGCTGACGTCACGGTCGGGCACCAGTTTTGCAGTTCGACCAACCGGAGACCGGTAAATGTTTACATCCCCGCTAACAGTTTGATGACGTCATTTCCAAAAGTTCTATAGCAAATTTGTTTTTATTTTATAAAAAATCTGGATTTATTGTTTTCTCAATTCCCCGAATTTCCAATTTTTAAATTTAAGTTAATTTTGCAATTTTTGGTTTTTTTCAATTATTCGATTTTTCAATTTCTTTAATTTTCAATATTTCGATTTTACAATTTTTCGTCTTTTTTCGACTTTATATTTTTTCGAGAAACAAAAAATCGAAAAATTGAAAAACCGCAAAACCGAATATTTTGAACAGGAACAAATAATTTAAACTTAATCAAAATATTAAAATTCGAGAAATTTAAAAATTGCAGATCGAATAATTGAAAAAACTAAAAATCGGAAAACGAAATATTGAAAAACTGACTGAATTTTTCAATTTTCCACTTCTTTCTTCCGATTTTTCAATTTTGCACTTCTTCAATTTGTTGATTACCTTTATAAATTAGGTATTTAAATAACAGAATTGTTCTTAATATTTTAGCTTCTCAAGTACACCCATTACTATGATTTTAAATTACATTCTTTTTTTTTGAAATTGCAAACTCGAAAAATTCAACTGGAAATATGTATTAAAAAATCCTAAAACTGAAAATCGAAGAATTGAAAAATTGTCAAATTAAACAATCGAAAAGTTAAAAACTGAAATATTCACAGAGCGATTGCAAATCAAAAAATTGAAAAATCAAAAAAAAAACTAAGAAACTGAAAACTGAAAGAACAAAAAATTAAAACATCTCAAGTTGAAGAAAAATTGATTAGTCGAAAACTGAAAGTCAAAAATAAAAAATCGCGGAACAAAAAACCGAAAAAATGAAAAAACAAAAAATTGTAAAAAATTCAAAGTTTTATAATGCAATAGTCAAAAATTTGAAAAATCAAAAATCAAAACCGAGAAATAAAAAATCTGAAAAGTGAACAAACGCAAAAGCGAATGTTTTGAAATTTAATGATGGAAAACTTGCAAATCGAAAAATTGAAAAATCTAACATCCAGAAACTGAGAAATCGAAATATTAAAAATTGAAAAATTTAAAAAGTTGGAAAAACTAAAAATCGAAAAATGAAAAAATGACATCTGTATCAAGAAATTGAAAAATTGCAAAGCGAAAAATTGAAAAATCGAATAAACGAAAACGTTTTAAAGTGTTCAATAGAAAAATGTAAAAATTTTAAAATTGTAAAATTGAAAAAGAGAAAAATTTTGCAACTTTAATTTTTTTAATTTTTCAATTTCTCGACACTGCAGTTTTTCATTTTTCGATTTTTCGCTTTCTCAATTTTTTAATTTTCTATATTTCCATTTTACAATATATTTCCATTTTTTGATTTTGCACCTTTTCGAACTTTAAGGTTCTCAGTTTTTAATCTTTCGGGATATCAGTTTTTAGTTCTTCAATGTCTCAAGTTCTTGGTTTCCAATTATTGGAATTTCCAAAATTTTCGTTTTTTCCCTTTTAATTTTTTCATTTTTGCTTTTTCAAACTTACAGTTTTGCAAGTTTTCTATTTTTTTTATTCGAAAGTTTGAAAAATCAAAAATGAAAAGTCGAGAAACTAAAAATTAGGAAAAAATTGAAAAAACGAATAATTGCGAAATCGAAAAATTGGAAGATTTTGAAGCTTTATTTTTTTCAATTTTTCAATTTCTCGACTTTCAAATGTTTTAATGTATAGTTTCTTCCATTTTTCGATTTGCAAATTTTCTATTGAGCAATTTTTCGATATAACAATTTTTCATTTTTCTATTTTTCGGATTCTTATTTTTAATTTTTCGATTTTTCAATTTTTCGTTTTCTCACTTTTTTAAGTTCTTTTTCTGTCTTTAATCTTTGAATTCCTCGATTTTGCATTTCTTTAATTTTCAATATTTCGATTTTACAATATTTCGTTTTTTCGAATTCGTACTTTTTCGATTTTTAAGTTTTTTGTTTCTTCAGTTTTTCACGTTGTTGATTTCCAATTTTTGGGTTTTTCAAAAGTTTTCATTTTATACTGCTGAATGAATCCAAAAATTGGAAAGAAAAATTCGAAAAACTGTAACAGTGAAACACCAAAAAATCGAGAAATTGAATAAATGAAAAAGTTGTAAAATCCAATAATACAAAAATGCCGCTTTTTTAATTTTTCTAATTGCAATTTGTAGATATTAAGTAAAATTTTTTTTAGTTACCCAATTTTTAATTTTTCGGTTTTTCAATTACTCGTTTCTTTAATTTTTTACGTTCTTGATTTTAATTTTTCATTTCCTCTATTTTTTAATGTTCATTTTTCGATTTAAGGTTACAATTTTTCGTTTTTCATTTCTTATATTGTTTCTAAGTTTCTTTCGATTGTATTATTTTTCGTTTACTTGTTTTTTTTTTAATGTTCAATCTTTGACTCCTCAGTTTTCCAATTATTACATTTTTCGCACTTTTTCGAATTTTATTTTTAATCTCTCGATTTTTCAATTTTTCGTTTCTTCAATTTTTCAAATTTGGATTTTTTAAAAATATAAGTTCAGAACTTTATACCTTTACGTTTTGTCATTTTTGAATTGTCAATTTTACAATTTTTCATTTTTTTTTATTTGAAAAGTTGAAAAATCGAAAAATAAGAATAAAAAAATTAAAAATTGAAAAAGTATTTTTTTTTAATTACTACATATTTTAAATGAAAACTAGAAAAATTCCAAATCTAAAATTGAAAAAAACGAATATTAAAAAATTTAAAAGTTGAAAAATAGAAAGCTGAAAACCAAAAAATTGCAAATCGAAAAATTGCAAAATCCAAAAATTGGAAATTTTCGAATTAAAAAAAATTACAAATTCAAAACCGCAAATTTGAAAAAATAAAAAACCGGAACGAAAAATTGAAGAAATCAAAAATTGAAAACTCGTGAAATTGCAAATCAAAAAATTTCAAAATCCGAAAATTGAAAATATGATAAACTTGGAAAATCGAAAAACTGAAAACTTTAAAAATGAAAACTCGAAGAAATGCATATTGTAAAGTTGAAGAAGCAAAAAATGAAAAATTGAATAATTGCATCGAAAAATGGAAGAAACGAAAATTTGAAAAAATTAAAATTGAAGAAACAAAAAAGTATAAAACCGAAATCAAAAGTTATGAATCGGATATTTGAAGAAATAAAAAATTGAAAATTTGTAAAATCACAATTAGAAAAATTGAAGAAAGGAAAAATTGAAAAAACGAGAAACTGAAGAAACGAAAAATTGAATAAACTTAAGATTAAAATTGAGGGAAAAAATGATAAAATGGAAACATTGAAATCGGACTGACAAATTGAAAAAACGAAAAAATGAAGAAATGCAAAACAGAAAAATCTGAAAAAACTGAAAAATTAAAAGTTGAAAACTCGTGGAATTGCAGATCGAAAACACACAATCCAAAAGTTGGAAAATAGGAAAATTGAAAAATTGGAAAATTTAAAATGAAAACTAAAATCACATACCTAAAAATTAAAAAAAATGGAAATTTGCAAATCGAAGAATTGAAAAAAAACTGATATTCAAAAAACAAGATATGAAATCGGAATATTGAAAAATCGAAAAATTGTAAAAATTAAGAAAATATTAAATCGAAAAGAAAAAAGAAATCGAAGAATGACAAAATCTAATTGAAGAAATAAGTAAAATGAAAAATTGAATAATTGCATCGAAAAATAGAAGAAACTAAAATTTAAAAAAAGAAGAAACGAGAAATTTAAGAAACGAAAAATCGAAGAAACGGAAAATTGAACACACGAAAAATTGAAGAAACGAAAAATTAAAAAAACAAAATGGAAGAAATTAAAACTGAGAAAATAAAAGATTATAAAATCGAGACATTGAAAAATCGAACAATTAAAATAAAAAATCAAAAGTCGGAACGAAAAATTCCAGAACGAAAAATTGAAAAAATGCAAAATAGAAATATTTGAAAATTGAAAAATAAAAAATTGAAATATCCAAAACATGGAAAATCGTAAAAATGAAGAAGCAACAAATCAAAAATTGAAAATTGTATCGAAAAATAGGTGAAATGAAAATTTGAAAAAATTAAAATTGAAGATTCAAAAAATTATAAAATCGAAACTTGGAAAAATCGAAAATTTGAAGAAACAAAAAAATTAAAATTTGTAAAATCGCAAATCGAAAAATTGAAGAAACTTGAAATTGAAGAGACGAAAAATTGAAGAAATGAAAATTTGAAGAAACGTAAAACTGAAGAAATTAAGAAATGAAAAGTTGGAACGAAAAATTGAAACATCCAAAAGTTGGAAAATCGGAAAATTGCAAAAATATAAAATGAAAACTAGAATCACATACCATAAATTTCAAGAAAAAGAAACTGAAAAATTGCAAATCGAAAATTTAAAGAAATTGAAATTCAAAAAAGAAGAAATTATGAAATCGAAACATTGAGAAATCGAAAAATTGTAAAAATTAAGAAATTAAAAAATTGGAACGAAAAATTACAAGTCGAAAATTTGAAGAAACGAAAAATTGCAAAATTAAAAATTGATAACTAGAGAAATTTGAAAGCGAAAAATTTCAAAATCTAAAAATCGAAAAAATTGAAATTGTAAAACCAATTATTATAAAACTGTAACATTGAAAAAACGAATAATTGAAAAAATAAAGAGACTAACCAATCGAAAAAGTGAAAAATTAAAAGTTGAAAACTCGAGAAACTCAAATCGAAAAATTGCGCACTCTAATCTATTGGAAAAACTGAAGAACCAAAAGAAAAATATAAATCGAGCAATTTTTGTTTTATCCCAAAAAGCTCCGTTTATTTACCCCCAACCCATCCCACTGTTGTCAGAGCTAAGCCAATTTGTCTGGAAGCATTTAAGCCTCGCCAGACTGCGCCGTAATGTATGCATATCACTTACTGTAAATGCAAATGCCGAAAATACACCCCCCAACGCACACACATCACCCTTTTAGGTCCTGACCTTATAAAATGCCAACCTTAATTTGATACTGTTAGCGGCGTTGTCACCCCCGATGATAGCGTTAAGGTCTTTATTCTGCGGACTCCTTTAATTTAGGACGGTGCGGTGGCGGCGCCGCCCACCCCTAAGAATAACGACACGTTCGGCGTCCTCCCTTATTTTAAATTCGGACGGGATAAAAATGCTAAGTTGGAAATTGGACAGGAGGTTTAGGGGAAACGATCACCCGACCGACTGCGGTCTTGGTAAAAATTCTCTCTCACCACACGTCTACTAACTTATTAAATACTTACTTTTTCTCCCGCTTTCCCGCCCCCGTGTCCCTGAAGCCCTTCGCAAAAGGGTTATTGTCGATCTTGAGCTGCGTTATCTGGAACGAATCAAACGAACACAATTACAAAAACATCCATCGACGCGATTATTTGCGTAAATGCGGGCTCGGGCGAAAAGTTCAAAGATTGGATCGTCTCTCTCGCGCCGAATTCCGCGAACATTCTCCCTCTCGCTCTAATTATCACGCGAGCGCTCTCCGATGCTCTTTATACGTATTATATCGTATCTGTTTTGAGTTTCAGCGGCGGTTCTTGGCTTTGTTCTTAGGAATAATGTGCGACATATCTCGTTTGATTCCGAGAACAATTAGCGGATCGAGAGACGGTTTTTAGGAGCTGCTTTTAATCTTTTTGGTTTTTTAATTGGGACGAATTTCGCCGGATTATGAGGCGGGTGAGCGTGTTGTTGGTTCGTTATTGGGGAAAATTGGTTTTGTGGGGGAAATGGAGCGGCGAAATAGACAGGTGTTCCGAAAGTGCATTGTTTTTTCATTTTAATAATGTTTGTTTGAGGTTGTGTGTAATAAAAAGAAAACAATAACAAATTTTGACCGGGGTTAATTTATATTTTTGAATGAAAAATTATTTCTATTAAAAAATGTACGTAATGGTTTTGTTCGATTCTCGGCTTCGACTGGCGTAAAGATTTCGTCTGTAATTTCGATCTGAAATAATTATTATGTGGACAAAATATAATTTTGTCTTTTTTTGTAGATTTTCCATTTTAAACATGTTTTAAGTTTCATGTTATGAAAAGGAGTCTGCACATATTAAAACAAAAAGACAAAATGTAGCCCCGCCCACCCGCCCTATCGCAATTGTGATGATTTTTTTTATTTGCCGTGAACCAAGGGGGCGGAGCTTAACTGCAAAATACTTATTTCATTACAAGAAATTATAAACATGTTTTTGAGTTCGTGTTGTTCAAAGAATAATATGTACATTAAAAAGAAAGGAAAATATAAACCCCGCCCACCCACCCCATCACAATTGTGATGATTTTTTTTATCTTACAAACTTGAACCACGTTCAAAATAGTAAATTTTTTAATTCATGTAAATCTGGATTCATACGAATGAATTTAGACCTCGTGATGAAAATCTTCTATCTTTTAACTTTACTCTCTAAACTAAAAAAAAACACCCTTAGAATACGAGCACAGCGAGCACGTTTAGTAGATAATCACAAATATTTTCAAGATTCATCGTTTTTAGACATTAAAAATTTTCTTATCAGTAATTTAGCTTCCGAGGGAGACTGACGGGTAATTTTTAATTACACCTGAACGTGCTCGCTGCGCTCGCATTCTTAACGTTTTTTTTTTTTAATAATGCCGTTCCATAACAACGTTTGCAAGGGAATGAAATGACCTGAACTGACCTAAAATTAAAAAAGGCTCTGATCAGCTGAAGAATTGAAGAACTGAAGAGTTTAGCTCTATCAAGGGCAAAATGTAAGCCCGCCCACCCGCCCTATCTCAATTGTGATGATTTTTTTTATTCGCCGTGAATCAAGAGGGCCGAGCTTAACTACAAAATACTTATTTCTTTACACGAAATTATAAACATGTTTTTGAGTTCGTGTTGGTTAAAGAATACTATGTACATTAAAAAAAAGAAAGGAAATTATAAACCCCGCCCACCCACATTATCTCAATTGTAATGATTTTTTTATTTTTAGAAACTTGAACCAAGTTTAAAATAGTACATTTTTTTATTCACGTATGGCCTCCTGAAAATTAGACCTAGTGATGAAAATCTCCTATTTTGTCCAACTTTACTCTCTAAACTAAAAAAAACACCCTTAGAATACGAGCGCAGCGAGCACGTTTAGCAGATAATCACAAATATTTTCAGGATTCGTCGTTTTTAGACATTAAAAATTTTCTTATCAGTAATTTAGCTTCCCAGGGAGACTGACGGGTAATTTTTGATTACACCTGAACGTGCTCGCTGCACTCGCATTCTTAACCTTTTTTTTTTTAAATAATGCCCTCTCATAAAAACGTTTAAAAGTGAATGAAATGAACTGAACTGACCTAAAATTAAAAAAGGCTCTGATCAACTGAAGAACTGAAGAACTAAAAAGTTTAGCTCTTTCAAGGGCAAAACGTAAGCCCGCCCACCCGCCCTATCTCAATTGTGATGATTTTTTTTATTCGCTGTGAACCTTGGGGGCGGAGCTTAACTACAAAATACTTGTTTCATTACAAGAAATTATAAACATGTTTTTGAGTTCGTGTTGGTCAAAGAATACTATGTACATTAAGAAAAAGAAAGGAAAATATAAACCCCGCCCACCCACCCTATCTCAATTGTGATGATTTTTTTTATTCTTACAAACTTGAACCACGGTCAAAATGGCAAATACGGTTTTTGCAATTAGGCTCCGCCCCTAGGTCTGCCAACGAATGAAAATTTCATTACTATTTACATCAGGCAGGTATGGGTGGGGCTTAATTTTTGGCTTTAATTTTTTCTTAATACACATAGTATTTTTTGAACAACACAATACTCAAAACATGTTATTATTTGAAGTAGAGAAATAAGGATTTTGCAATTAAGCTCCGCCCCCTTGGCTCACGACGAATAAAAAAATCATCAGAATTGACACAGGGTGGGTGGGCGGGGCTTATATTTTGCCTTTACACTTATATTTTGCAATTACGCTCCGCCCCTCGGTCTGACAACGAATGGAAAATTCATTACGATTGAGATCGAGACGAATGGGTGGGGCTTCTCTTTTGGTTTTCTTTCTTAATTAATGCATTTAGCTTTCTTTGTATAACACGAGTAGATCATATTTCACATGGTAATTTACGACCAATAAAAAAAATCATCAGAATTGATACAGGCTGGGTGGGCGGGACTTAAATTTTTATTGTATGATTGGAGAATTATTGAAAAATTAGTTTCATCTTCTATTTTAATTCTATTATTTTTGATAAAAAACGATTTTTGTTAAAAACATGTATATTACACATTTTTGGCTCTCGGCTTCGCCTCGAGTGAAAATTTTTTGACGTTAGAACTCTAATTTCGATTTAAAATAGTTTCTTTATGGTAACATTGACTCAAAAGAAAAATAATTTTCATATTTTTATATTTTCTACTTTTGTCTGAGACGAAGTCGAGGGCTGAATTTATTCAGTGACTTGACCTGACCTGAACTGACCGAAAATTAAAAAAGGATGTGATCAAATGCTTGCGAACTGAAGTGTCTAGCCCTTTTAAGGGCAATATGTAAGCCCGCCCACCCGCCCTATCTCAATTGTGATGATTTTTTTATTCGCCGTGAATCTCAGGGGCGGAGCTTAACTACAAAATACTAATTTCTTCACAAGAAATTATAAACATGTTTTTGAGTTCGTGTTGGTCAAAGAATACTATGTACATTAAGAAAAAGAAAGGAAATTGTAAACCCCGCCCACCCACCCTATCTCAATTATGATGATTTTTTTATTCTTAGAAACTTGAACCACGTTTAAAATAGTAATTTTTTTTAGTCACGTATGGCCTCCTGAAAATTAGACCTTGTGATGAAAATCTCCTATTTTTTTCAACTTTACTCTCTAAACTAAAAAAAACACCCTTAGAATACGAGCGCAGCGAGCACGTTAACCAGATAATCACAAATATTTTTAGGATTCGTCGTTTTTAGACATTAAAAATTTTCTTATCAGAAATTTAGCTTCCCAGGGAGACTGACGGGTAATTTTTAATTACACCTGAACGTGCTCGCTGCCCTCGCATTATTAACCTTTTTTTTTTAAATAATGTCGTCTCATAAAAACGTTTACAAGTGAATGAAATGACCTGAACTGACCTAAATTTAAAAAAGGCTCTGATCAACTGAAGAACTGAAGAACTGAAGAGTTTAGCATTTTCAAGAGCAAAGTGTAAGCCCGCCCACCCGCCCTATCTCGATTGTGATGATTTTTTTTTATTCGCCGTGAACCTCGGGGGCGGAGCTTAACTACAAAATACTTGTTTCATTACAAGAAATTATAAACATGTTTTTGAGTTCGTGTTGGTCAAAGAATACTATGTACATTAAGAAAAAGAAAGGAAATTATAAACCCCGCCCACCCACCCTATCTCAATTGTGATGATTTTTTTATTCTTAGAAACTTGAACCACGTTTAAAATACTAAATTTTTTAGTCACGTATGACCTCTTGAAAATTAGACCTTGTGATGAAAATCTCCTATTTTTTTCAACTTTACTCTCGAAACTTAAAAAAAACACCCTTAAAATACGAGCGCAGCGAGCACGTTTAGCAGATAGTCACAAATATTTTTAGGATTCGTCGTTTTTAGACATTAAAAATTTTCTTATCAGAAATTTAGCTTCCCAGGGAGACTGACGGGTAATTTTTAATTACACCTGAACGTGCTCGCTGCCCTCGCATTATTAACCTTTTTTTTTTAAATAATGTCGTCTCATAAAAACGTTTACAAGTGAATGAAATGACCTGAACTGACCTAAATTTAAAAAAGGCTCTGATCAACTGAAGAACTGAAGAACTGAAGAGTTTAGCATTTTCAAGAGCAAAGTGTAAGCCCGCCCACCCGCCCTATCTCGATTGTGATGATTTTTTTTTATTCGCCGTGAACCTCGGGGGCGGAGCTTAACTACAAAATACTTGTTTCATTACAAGAAATTATAAACATGTTTTTGAGTTCGTGTTGGTCAAAGAATACTATGTACATTAAGAAAAAGAAAGGAAATTATAAACCCCGCCCACCCACCCTATCTCAATTGTGATGATTTTTTTATTCTTAGAAACTTGAACCACGTTTAAAATACTAAATTTTTTAGTCACGTATGACCTCTTGAAAATTAGACCTTGTGATGAAAATCTCCTATTTTTTTCAACTTTACTCTCGAAACTTAAAAAAAACACCCTTAAAATACGAGCGCAGCGAGCACGTTTAGCAGATAGTCACAAATATTTTTAGGATTCGTCGTTTTTAGACATTAAAAATTTTCTTATCAGAAATTTAGCTTCCCAGGGAGACTGACGGGTAATTTTTAAT